CCTGTGACTGCAGTTCAATTACTCACTATCTATCTACACATTACATTCCCCTCTTTTATATACCAGCGTAACCTATTTCTAGCAAGAAGTAGAACATTCGCCAAAGTACATGATAGTTCTAGAAACAAGAGAGCGTGAGAATTGTCACGTGATCTCGATGACGCAACAATATTTTTGAGCCAAAACCTTCAGAAGCAGCCAACATACATTGTATGTGAAACATAACTCCTTTGCTTTATGATAGATTTTGTGTATCATGCTTAATACAAAAGCTACAGAAATTTTTGGACGTAAGACAAAATTTCAATGTTTATAGAATGTTTTTTTTTAAGGCATGTAACTGTTATATATAGTACATCATGTATGTGCATACAATTATGCTATTTCGAATTGCCAGACAAAGTTTGGAGCCACAAAAAACATGACATAGGATATAGACAAATAGATGTGCCATGTGATTTGATTACCTAGAAAAGTGACTTCCCAAGAAAATTGGTGGTATTGACTTTTGGAAAACATATTGCCTTAACTCTCCTTGTTTAATTATAACCTCCCTTTCTTGGGGGTAATGATTTGAAGGAGTTAAATGAATATATCAGGACTTTATTTAGCCTTTCTCTTGAACACACACTTGTCTGTTTTCAGTGTTAATAATAAATAAAATAATGTCAAATAAATAAAATTAACAATGACTAATTTAATTTCATGAAGTATTTCTTTTACATTATACACTAAGTTATTCTCAGCTCATATTATAAATTTTTTAGTTGACATATACATTGTACTTTTCTGTGTCATCGTATAAACTCTTAAGATTTTGTATTTCTATTCTTTTTTTTTATAACTTATTGCATATCTTGGATAACTCTTTGTTATTGTATCATATTTGATTAATACTAGGAACTATTTTATTTTGTTTTTTAGCATATCAAAGTAATAACATGATAATATTTCCATTTAGTGATCCTGTAACCAACGTAAAAACTCAAGAAAAATCCAGCGTCAAGAAAGTCGTAGAGATGACTATCTTGCAGGATTCTGCTTTTGATGTTAGAAATACTCTCCCTAATGTTAAACCTGACCTGACCTCATTGACCATGGTCACAGAGTATGCCTGCCCCCTGGGTAAGGTAGTTGTACCACCTAACTGTGGTAAGTGCAATTGTTTCTTGTTAATTTAGGAAGTACCCTTATACTTGGAAATATTTGAAAATGTTTAAGTGAGAATATGCCCTCTTGTTTGTGACTACTGTAAACATTCTTAAGTTTGTATTAGCATATCTATATAAGAAATGTAATATGTCCAATACTGATACAAATAACACAAGTATGGAAATCATATGCACATTGGGCACCATGACTAAAACATGCTCCGGGTATTTTTGTAAATTACAAAGTGCATCTCAATTTATCCTAAGATCCCTATATAAAGCACCCCATATAATGTTGATTTTAATCTGTAGAATTAAATGAAAATGTTGAGCTTTTTCTTGCTAGCATGTTGATAGGCCTAACTTGTGTTAAATTGACTTTAATAAAGTAAATTGCTAAAATGATTGAGTAAAACAAGAATTATGTAATTTTTCATTGTTTTCAAAAGTAATAAATTATTCTTGAAGCTTGGTTGGCTTCATAAATAAATTATACATACTTATGTTTGATTTTACTATGCTACAAATGGACAATAGTCATGCGATCAAAGGGTTTGAATATGAGGGTGACCAGCCAGAATCAAAAGCTGTCTTTAAGAATGATTGACCAATAAGGACAAGTTTACTTATCATCATGTCTCTTGTGTGAACTATGTTTCATGATTTAGTTTTTGTTATTATTCTGGAAAAGTTTAATCCCTCTTTATAAAATTATTTATTTAATATGTTTAACAAATGAAATTAGTTAAGAAGTTCTTTATTTTTTACAAATTGAAGTCATGCTGCTGTTCGGACTTTCAACCATGAGAACTTGTTCATCGTCAAAAGGATTAGTTGCTTCATTCAGATGATTTATTTTTATTTATTCTATTTATTTACTTAGTTGACTGCAGCCAAGGCACATACTATAATAATGCCACCTTGTCCTGCCTTTCTTGTCCTATTGGAACTTACCAAAATGAGATTGGCCAACTTTTTTGCAAGTCTTGTCCTAAGATTGCTGGGCAGCAAGGAGTGACAGCATCAACTGGTGCACGATCATCTAATGAATGCAAAGGTAAATGAAAAGATTATAATGTGTTATAATGATGATGATTCGAGTGTACATGTAATATCAGAAATGTTTATGTAAAGACATAAAAACAAAGATCTGACAAACTGTAAGAAATACATACTTTAAATTTGTTGTTTAATATTTTTAGTATTTAATCAAGCTTCTAGGAAAGAAATTTTTAGTGTCCAAACTCCAGACATGAACCAAACAAATCTGTTTGAAACTTGAGTTTCTGCTTCATAAACTTGTTTACGTAAGAAATTTTAGAAAAAGTTTCTGTAATAAAATGGTTGTTTTTATATACCATTTATAGATAACTGAAGAAAGATTTGGTTATGTTTGATTTGCATAAATAATTTTTTAATCACTTCAACACAGAACGCTGTTCTGCTGGCAAGTATTATGATGAAACTGTTGGGTTATGTCGACCTTGTGGATACGGTCTCTACCAGCCTCAGGAAGGATCCTTCAACTGTATTCCATGTGGTCCCAGTCTTACTACACGCAGTAGTACAGCAGTATCTCAAGCGGAATGCCGGGGTATTCACTTCATATCTTAAAACCATAAGGTGTAAGATAATGCACAGCTGTCAAATATTGTATGGATACAACTTGAAGAAATTATGACTATTTTACTCTTAGTTTGGTCAATTGTATTTCTTTCTGATGACAAATATTTTGAATTAAGACAGAAAATTTAAGACTAATTGTATCTGAGATGATAGTAAAACAGTTTTGGTGCTATATATGTATCTTTTCCTTCAAACCATTTGGGATTAAAGAGTAAGTGCTCTTTTCAACTGCTAGTACTTGTAATGAAGCATTGTTTTATTTGATTTTGCACTTTTCAGGTGAATGTTCTGCCGGTTTGCAGCTTTCTAGCAGTTTAAATTGTGAGCCGTGCCCACAAGGGTTTTATCGAACACTGGGTATGGCAGCGTGTGAACAATGTCCTCGTGGTAGAACAACAGCTTCTGTGGGATCAACCAACCGCAGTGACTGTTCTCTTGGTAAGTTATTAATATCAACGTAGTAACTTGTAACTGTGAAACTTCAAATACATATTACAATACATGTATAGCTACATTATCAAAACCGGTAGGAAGAACATTAGTAGCTTCAGTTATCAAATCCAGGCGTAATAAGAATGAGGTCAGAATAACTTATTAACCTGAAAAGAAAACTTGATACTGAAGAAATTCTAATGGGGTAAATCAAGAAGTTTGGACAGATCAGAAAATAATAAAGGAAGAAAATATTTCAAGCACTATGTGTTCTTCAGGCTATATATATATATGTGTGTGTGTGTGTTATTTCTTCCTCAAGAAATTTTTACATGTGTGATTTTAAAAGTTAACTCTCTTTCTCTCTTCTAAACTGTTGCTTAACTGTGCTTTGATAGTGTAAATTCGTACAATTTAGAAGAATAACAATTTTTATCAGAAATTTCTGCTGATTAATTCACTTAGTATAAGGATACATGAAAGTTTTGACATAGTAGTTGTGACTCATAAAAGTTGCTGTTAATCTTTACATTTTCTAAATATTGCTTGTGATGAAAAACTCGTGGTTATTACCATATGTTTTTGTCATTATCATCTTAGTTATTCCTTTATGAAATCCACACCAGAAGAAGGTCATTTTAAGTATAAAATAGGCCTGATATGCTTTGATGCTCAGCTGTGACATGGTTTAATGTTTGAATCTTATGACCTGCAACCAAAGTTCAGGTTACTGTATTTTAACTCTGGGAGGATTATAACCATGACAGTCAATAGTGTAGCTGCCTAGGTAGTGGGTACTGCTGATTGGCTGCTTTACCTTTAATTGGTAGTTCTATCAATTTGTTCAATGCTACGCCAAAACTGTGATGTCTCTGGTCTTGCTGTTCAACCAGTTTGCCATATAAGATGCCATTCAGGTTTAAAATGCCAGACTAGTATATTGATGTACATTTAGTCTTCTGTTCCTTATGAATATGTTAAATATTTTTGTGTCTGCTTTCAGAGGTTTGCAATCCAGGTCATTTCCTCAACACTACTCTTAATCGCTGCATAGCTTGTCCCAAGGGTACTTACCAAGACAAAGAGCAGCGAGATTTTTCTTGTCAACCTTGTCCATCAGACACAACTACTGATGGATCTGGAGCAACCAGTGAACAAGCTTGTTTTAACCCATGTTTCGTAGATGGCCCGATGAGACCTTGTCAGGCGAATGCTTTCTGTGTTTTCCGACAAGAGACTGACACTTATTCTTGTGAATGTATACCTAATTACAGGTTGAATAAAGAAACTGGTGAATGTATCAGTAAGTAAAATATGTAGTAAATTGTCTGTTTAATAAAAACGTTTCTGTTTTGTTTTCAACATTGTTTTTATATTGGTTAAAATATTATGTTTTTCCTAATTCTAAATAGTTATACAAAACATCACTTAATGGAAAACGTAATTCCATTAGAAGCAAAACATAAGTTAGTATATTTGTTTTTTTTTAGCTCTTTAGTTTTAAAAAGTGTAATACTAACACCTGCCACACAAGCCAGCCCAGTATCTTTTAGTAATGAGCCTTGGATGGTCAACAGGGGATCATTTTAGAAACTGGTGATTTAGGGTTATTTCAATAGATCTTGATGAATAAAGCTTGGCACAACTCCTAAAATAAAACAAAAAAACAACAAATAAATAATGATAAAAATATGACACAATGAAATCTGTATGGATTACTATGATGGTACCATACTGGGCATTATACCATCCTTCTTGTATTTACTCTATTCATTGCAAAAATGGCATTCTTAATTTGAGAATCACTAGGAAAATAATATTGTAACTCATCATGCATCTGTTTAAACTTCAACACTGCATCTTTGGACTTTACTGTGATGCTAGTTTCACACAATATTGAAAGTAATGTCTTCTTATATATGATTCCAACCCCCTTTATGAAGATAATGATACAGTTGTGTACATTTTTTTGGTTTGCTGTCAATGCAGTAATCAATTGATGATTCTTTGATTCTTCTGTTACATTAAATCTATTGGGATATCTTCAAATAAGTTCTTCCCTCACCTGACCTCAACCCATGGTTTAACTTATTCGCTACATGCCATCACTTTCACAACCACATCTAAAACATTTCAAGCATGTTTCATTGCTACATCATTTACATTTACAAGTTAACTTCTGCATGTTGGTTCCTATGGTCTCATGTTAGGTCATGGGTCTGGTCCAGTAACCTAGACCTCAAATTGGTCATGTGGCAGGTGTTAATTTTTTACGACCACGAGGAAAAGGTATTTTCCTTCACTCATCCCATAATTTTCAAGTTTCAAATAAGTAATGAAATATTGTAACTTGGTTTGTTTGTTTTTCTTTTTATTACACCCTTAACAATAAACCTGCCACTGGAAGATTTGCTTATGTATAAAGTTGCAGTGAAATAGTTAATTTATTCTATTATAATGATCAAAATAATTTTTGGATTGGCTGTTGTTTTTTTCGTTTTATTTTATTTAATATAAGCTTCCCAGTTTATTTCAGTTCAATATTACACTTATTACATCTCGTCATTTTTGCTCTCTGTAGATATTTGTGACAACTATTGTGATAATGGTGGAACATGTGTAGCAATACCAGAATCCAATGAGCCAAAGTGTGAATGCTTGACAAACTTTTATGGAGACAAATGTGAGAAGAAGTCAGATTTTGTGTACATTGCAGGAGGCATTGCTGGAGCAGTAATTTTCATTATTCTTCTTGTTCTATTTGTATGGATGATCTGTGTCAGGTATGATGTTTCCAAGAGTTTTTTTGTTCTGCAAACAAGTGTTATTTTTGTGTCTTTGAAATAACTGATAGTAAAAAGTAGCATGATCATGGCCACTGATTAAAAAATATAATAATAATGTTTACTATCTCTAAAATCCCCACTTAATCATTGGTTACATCTTTTTTGTCAATGTTCATTCTAAAGATGGTGCCCATTCATGTGGTCTTGATTTTAATAGAGAAATGGAACTCGTATGATTCTGAAGTTCTTATATTCGCCTTGTTAACCTGTTGTTGTTGTTCATAAGATAGAGATGATTATTATACTTCTTATAAACTTTTAAAAAAGTTTAGGTTATATGTTTTTGACTTTGTAATTTATGTTGGCAGGTTGAAATTTGTGTGGTACTACTTCTTATAGGAGGCATTTTTAAACAAAAAAGCAAAATTTTACTTTGATTTGATATTCTATAATATACTTTGTTTTTGATGCATAGGACATGGTAGCAAGAAAATTATCACTTAGTTATCTTTTCTATCCTTCTTTAGATCTTCATGGAAGAGAAAATCCAAGAAAGTACCTCCTCCTCAACCTCCCATGGACTTCACTGGCTCACAAACTAACATTTTATATGGTGCTCCTGCTCCATATGCTGAGAGTATAGCCCCATCCCACCATAGTACATATGCTCACTACTACGACGATGATGACGATGGCTGGGAAATGCCCAACTTCTATAATGAAACTTATATGAAAGGTAACCCTTCTTTAGAATAGTTTCTTCTCTATTTCTTTTATATTTTATTTAAACATGTGGCAATACCTCATCAAATCAGTATAAATATATCAGTGATAAATACTTTTGAAGTATTTATCACTGATATATTTCAAGTAAATAATTGTATTAGTTTTTAAATTATCCTACTGCAATAATAATTAGAATACTTTATTCCTACTTCAATAAAGTCACTATAAAATGAAGATGTAAAATAAAGTGTATTTTGATCTATTCCAATAAGTATAATATTGAAAACTACCTAACAAAATTACTGTAGCCTCCTATTGTTTCTGAAACTTAAGAATTTTATTTGATTTATTATAGTTTCTCTACTTTTCAAGAAAGAAATACTTTATTTGATTTCAAAATTTTTTTCAGAGGGTCTTCATAATGGCAAAACCAATAGTCTAGCCCGAAGCAATGCAAGCTTATATGGAACGAAAGATGACTTGTATGATAGATTACGAAGACACCAGTATCAAGGAAAAAAAGGAGGTAGAACTTGTATATTACTGTTTAATTTATATAAAGAATTTCATAATGAGCTATAAATTTAAGAAATTGGCCCTTCAGTGGTACTACAGAAGACTTATTTGAAAATATCAAAGTGTCATTTGAAAAGTTCACTTTATTTATGACAAAGATCTGAAAAGTGTTTAAGAGCATATTATTTATAATTGTGTGTGATTTTTATTTAGTAAAAGAACAATTAAATACTTTTCCAATATTTTTTGTGTTGTTACAAAAACTGTTTGATAACACTATTGTTGTGTTAATGTTTTTTATGAATTACTTCTTTAGTTTTCTAAACAATATTTTTTTATATCTCCATAGACACAAGTGACAGTGAAGACCAGGGTCAATTATAACAATGTGGCTAATAATGGAAAAGACAATGCTCAAGACTTTCCCTTCTTGATATCTGAGTCTTCCTTTGAAGTCTGTTTATGTAGATGAAGAATAAGAATTATCCAAAAGCAAAACAAAAACAAATGTTTATAGAGTAATAAACAGAATCTTTATGGTAATATTGAACATTATTTCATCACTGTATTTATGGGTGTTAATTTTATACCAGACAATTAGTTTTCTATTAAGTATATACATATGTGTGTGGTAGAATAAGTTGAGCATTTTATTTTCTTAATTGTGGTTGAATTTGAATTTTGTAAGATATACACAACAAATGTGAAAGTCCTGACTTTTATTCAAGAAAATATTTTACACTACAGTGTTGTGGTATTTGTAGCTTGTGATTATTTTAATTGACTTTATCAACTTTAAAAATTATCAGGTTGATGTTGTGTATATGAAATAAAACTTTGTATATGTATCTTTACAAGTATGCTGGCACTGTTGTTGCTCATCTGTTAAAAAGTGATATGGTGATTATTTTAGTGGAAAAGTTTTTAAAAAATTTGAATTGCAGAAAATGTTATCAGTTTTTGCTCATATCAGTTATAAATTCTTAAAATTGTGTGTTTAAGCACCAGTCGAAAGCGAAAATGTATATTACATGGTTTCGAGCACAGGAGCTACCTCAGGAAGGGCTATTACTGAACATTGTAATTAGTTTTTTGACTTGTGTTTAAACAGTTATTAATTTAAAAAATTAATATCATTTTTTTTTATCAATCTGTAATCTTTTAGGTCTTTTACAATATGGACTTTGCTTTTTTTTCACAAAATACCAAGTTAATCTAAATAAAAAAGCATAATAATAAACCACAATCTATCAAAGTAGTGTTTTGCGTTAAATCTTTATCAGGATTTTACTGTTTTCCTGGAACTTTTTGTTAAAAAAGTAAATATGTTTTCATCATTGAATAATATGAGGTTTATTTTTCCTGGAACTGAATTTTTGTGTTCAACTCCAATTTGTCCTCTGGAAATTTGCGTGTTACATCATTATAAACGCCATCTTTCAGGGTGCTTGCATTATATAGATTGTTAGGTCACTTAGAAAAATAGTTAACATTTTTGTTATCATGTTTAATTTATTTAAAACGATCACAAGATGGCGACATGGTGTTCTGTCAAGTTTCAAGACGACGAAGTAACTTTCTGGGTATAAACTTACTTTTACAAGTACACGTAGGCGGGATTTGGGATATGAGAGGGAAATAATTATCTCCTCCCCATCTTGTAATAACCATAACCAGGAAGTGAAGCTTTATTTATCATAATACATTTTATCTTTGTGCTAAAACGTTTCGTATCCAAAATCTTGCATATTCATGTACAGTATAATTCACAAACAAATTTCTAGTAAGATTCAATATTGATTTGTTTTAACTAATCAAAATGTTGTCGTTTGGATTATATAGATGCTTTTAGCAAACTTTTGTTCTTTTGTGTTAAATAAAATATTTTATGAGAATCGATATTTGTGTCATAATTTGTGTTCATCTTAACAACTTGTTTAAGACTTACTAGCGCACCTGATTCTTCAATTTATTAGTTTAATCCTAGAATTACCGATGGGAAGTACACTAGCTATTTTAACTAAACCAGTGAAGCACCAAATTGCTTTTGGATCCATGACATTATTGGTTTCAAAATCGTTAATATTTAACGAGTCTCACACAAAAATAACATCAATATTGTAATTAATCCCATTAATTACTGCTGGGGCTCCCTATGTATTTTCTACAGAAAATGAGTGAATGCAGACAAATATTTTGTCAGTTTTTTACGTTGAGACTTGTAACAAAAAAAAAGCATGGACTTACTTTACATGATACAATGCGAACCACACTGGTAACAACTTATTTTACTTATTCACTGTAAGTTATTTTATGTCGCTCATCTATAATATAATTTATATTAGTACTAACATACTAATGGTTCATTCATTTATTTAATTATCAGTAATCGGTTTATAACTGATCTCGAAACCATCAAGGTGAGCGTAGTTGATTCTTCTGTGAGGTTATGAATTGAATATACAAATACACCTCAAAGAAAGAAACAAAAAAAACATGGCTGATTTTATATTTTACTAGCCTTGAACTACACAGGCCTGCGATGGTTTTATTGTTTTGAAATCTTTACATGTTCTATAGTAATTCCTGTACGCTTATCCAAAAATGATACCCATTTTTCTCCATCACGTATAGATTTTTCATAAAACGTCATATATACTTTTACATAAGTGAATCATTTTCATTGAAATCGGGTCACATTTTGTTAGGTTTAAAATGTTGACAACCACTGGCTATAGATTTATCTAGACCAATCGCGACGTGAGAGTAATTGATCGTTCTAGAACCCACGATAAACACACTGCTAGTATATAAACGGTTAAGAGGCCGCATGACGTGTCATTTCTGGATAGTATCTGTTTGTGCGTGCTCTTTGACATTATTTTTTCTTTTCACTATTATTTATTCGTCGCTATAACAACAAGAGGTTGTGTAAATGATCCAAAGATATTCTGCTATATTTGTGGTAAATTTGTTGTTAATAAATAAAGGCAAAACATTACAGAATTCGTCAAAAAAGCGTATTACACGTATTTTGGAATGAAACTTTGGGACTAAGACAAATCATGGGCTCCACACAAAGTTTGTGTCGAGGAGTTAAAACAATGAACTAAAGGTAATAAAAAGTCTTTGCTTTTTGAAATTCCAATAGTCTGGCATGAGCCTAGAAACCACGGAGATGACTGCTATTTTTGCTCATGTAATGTGCAAGGCTACAACACTCGAAATAAAATGGAAATTTCTTATTCGAACCTTCAGTCTACTATAAGACCTGTTGCTCATGGATCTGATGTACCTGTACCTACTCCACTGGAGACTGTTGATACAGTCTCATCTGATGTCAGTATAAATGGTGATAGGGTTGTTTTTAACCTGAAACGTCTGGTGAACCACAACGTTTCACACAAGGTGAACTTAATGATTTGGTGAGAGATTTGGGCCTTCCAAAGGATTCTTCAGGGATTTGGGGGTCCAGACTTCGGGCTAAGAACTTACTCTTTCCAGGGGCATCATTTTACTGGTATAGAAATCGTGAGAAAGAGTTTATACCATACTTTTCGCAAGAAGGTTCATTGGTTTATTGCAACAATATTGCTGAATTAATACCAATGCTAGGAGCTGCAGTCTATGTACCAAGTGAGTGGCGATTGTTCATTGATTCCTGCAAAAGAAGTCTAAAAGGTGTTCTCCTTCACAATGGTAATATATATACATCTGTTCCTATTGCTCATTCGGTTCACTTGAAGGAAAAGTAAGAAAATCTCGAACTTCTTAATAAGGTCAAATACAAAAAACATGGTTGGCTACTTTGTGGGTATTAAGAGTCATTTGTATATTGTTGGGTGAACAATCCGGTTCTACAAAGTTTCCATGTTTTGTTGTGTGAATGGGACAGCAGAGCAAGAAATCGGCACTGGATAAAGAAACAATGGTCACGTAGAGTCAGCCTGATACCAGGATCGAAAAACGTTGAACGTGAAAATTTGGTTGACACAAAAAAGTCCTATTACCTCCACTTCACAAAAACCTGAGCTTGATGAAGCAGTTTTTAAAGGCTTTAGACAAAGATGGTAACTGTTTCAAGTATCTATGTGGGCAATTCTCAGTTCTTTCAGAAGGAAAACTTAAAGAAGGAATTTTTGTTGAGCTTCAGATTAGGAAATTGACTTCGGATGAACAGTTAGAAAGGA